TTTGCCATTAGAGACCTTTGATGTAAGCGACGGAAAAGTCGATGCTTTCATGATCAGACCTTTCAAGATTGCAGAAATCGAGAACTCAAGCAAACCTACCACTCTAGGTTTTATCATCAATCTGACTAGTTCATGAGTCTTTGCAGGATATCTGTTCTACGAGATTGCACCGCTACGATACCGCTGGCAGCCAAAATCTAAACTATCATTCTCGCCAACCGGCATTAAAAAAATAGATATTGTTGAAAGAAAGAGCTCACACAAATCTTTGACTTTAAGTCTTTTCTCTACCATTTCGGTGTGCTATACGAACATAGGCCAAAGTTTGTTTGAAATGCAAACAAGCAAGTTTTTAGCTCCTTTGGGAATGGAAGGGATGTATTTTCCTTGCATTTAGTGGTGCAGATGCGATCGCCTACTTTTTTGCTAAATACAGCTGGCGGGGGTTAGCCTTCTGCCAGAGTTGGCGATGCTAAAGGCGACTACTGTAATGTTATGAATATTCAAAAACTTTGGTTTTGCTTGGGCAGTCTTCAAGTTCATCTTATATCAAAGTAATCTATTTGACTATCTTTGCTTATGTCTAGTACTTTCTCTCAATTAAGGTCGGGAAAATTGCTTCTTATTTATACTCCATATCTCATCTTTCCGTCTACTATTTTAGAGAAGTGCACGAAGTCAGTCCTGACGCCGATGACTTGGAAGTACTTGAGCTCTTAAATAATCGGAAATCTCGCCATCAGGGGCGTCTGACTCCACGCGGGCTTGACACAGGTATGTACTTTTTGTAAAATTCATATAGTTTTACTCCTTTTTGTGAATATAATGAAATTTAGCATCTCCAATAGCTTTATCACTAAAAACCTAGCTAAAGCATTGCATTAGAAATTTTTTTTATTTTTCTGCGGTTACTCCTCTAAATTAATCTTTTTCTAGATGACCATTCTGCTGTTGACATGGATATGTCTCGTCCCTCATCTTCGGTTGTTATGCCCTCGCACCGTACTCGGAATGGGCATCTTCAGCCAGAAGATCTTACCATGTCGGATGACGATGAATCGTATCCAATGCATGACCACGATGATATCGATTGCACAGATAGAAATATGGTATATTATTTACCAATGTCTGGACTTGTTTTTTTTTTTGTTTGCATCATATTTGTTTCCAGCTTACCCGTAATAATCTTCCTTTGATCCCTACGGAATGTGGAAGTGTTACAGAGGCTCTGCATAATTTTGTTGTCGTATTCGAGTCCAGGTACGTATACGCAATCCCTGTTTTCTATTTCTGATTTTACGCTCGATCTCATATTTTTTTATATCGAGTGGCACATCTATAAATTTGTGATTTTTTGTAGATAATAGCTAATGGAGGGCGACCCAAGATTTACCTTTATTTTATTTCACTAAGCCAGTTTAGTTCAAG